GCGCCGAGCGAAGCCGAAGTGAGCCGAAGTTAGCCGAGTCCTAGCATCCTGGTCGCTATGCAAAGCGAGTCAACAGCGATGACGTCACCAAGGGCAGCACGGGTAAACAGGATTGCGAGAGACGACGGTGGTAACAGCGGTTACTACCGCTAGCGTTACTAGCAACACAGCGCCAGGCAACAAGGGTGCTTATTACGTGGCCGTTTTCTGTATTGTCCGATTGAGGCTACATTAGGTGCAGCGAAGGCTATTCAGAGTTAGTCCTGGAGCTACCTCAAAGTTAGTCCTGGAGCTACCTCCGAGTGAGTCCTGGAGCTACCTCTGAGTCAGTCCTCGAGTTACCTCCGAGTTAGTTCCGAGTTAGCCAGCAACCAGCCAGTTGTATTGTGGCATTTGGAGTGTAGTACTTGTGATACTGCAGATAGCAGTGGTTCTAAAACTGTCAATTGTGTGATTGTAAGTGCGAATGTGAAATAAAATTCGCTACATCAAATACCTCGTGAAGTTATTTGTCGCGTTATACGCCCAATACGCGACAATATTGTATGCATTTCTCATTGCTCCCATATATGCTACATTCCAAGCCTGTCTCATTCTCCTTGATTTTATCACCCCTGTATGTGGTGAAGCCTCCGATCATGCACTTTTCTCCACCCTTTTGTTCTCTCCTCCTATTTAGGTCCAAATATTCTCCTCAGCACCCTGCCCTAGAACACCCTCAAGGATTCTCTTCTTTCAGATTCAAAGACCATATTACACATGGTATAAAACAACACCTAAGTGCATAGTTTTGTGTATTTTAATTATGAAACATATTCAGAGAGCAGGTTGGAAGATGAAAGATTCTAAATTGGGCAAACAATTGAATTGCAGTTAAAATGGACAAATAGACTCATTAAGTGACATACAAATAAATCATTAATCTAAGATGCAAAGAAAAATATGTTTCGTGCTTCTATTGGAAATGATTCACTGTAACTACAGGTGCTGAAGCTGCAACAGAAAGTGAATGAACTGCAGAGTCAGGCAGAAGATCTCCGTGACGACAAGAAGAGTCTGAACCTAAGAGTCAAAGAGCTGAAGGAGGAGCTGGAAGGTCGACCTGACAAAGTGGCCACCCAACGGACTATTGATGAACTGCAGTCTAAATTATTGGCTGCTGAGACTCTCTGTGAGGAGCTGATGGATGAGAATGAAGACATGAAGAAAGAGCTTAGGGATCTGGAAGAAGAGATAGAGGAAATGCAAGACAATTTTCGGTACCATTTCTGAATAGTCATTTTCCTTTTCCACAAGAATTTGGAGACTGAAGAAAGCAGGCTTCTGGGATTTGGCACCGTGTATATGTGGTGTTAACTGACATTTCGGAGGAACGGATCGCCTCTATCTTCAAGGTAGAAGGAAAAATATAAGAAATTTGCAGGCGTAGAGACCGTGAGAACCGGTACAAGCAGACTATTCCTCCGAAACGTCGGTTAACACCACATATACACGGTGCCAAATCCCAGAAAACTGCTTTCTTCATAGTCACTGACGTGAAAACCTCAAATCTTACAATTTGGAATCTGTTCCATTTTTCCTACAAGAGCTTGTGTGATTGCCATTTATAGATCTCTTCTTGAATTCTGTCTGCATATTGCCCCTAGTGTCATGTGTACTGTATATTTGATATCATTGCCTATGTTTATAGTATTTAGCCTGCTCCGTTAGCTCTTCATTTTGTAACTGGTTGAAGTTACTTTTGGCATCCATATAACGAAGATCTTATATGCAGTTTGTATCCTTTCATTCTTCCTCATAGAACAGTTTCACTTTTGAAACACATATCAGAAGATGTGTTAATTGTGCTTTGTTTCCCAGAAAAACAAATAAACATGGTTGTGATGCCGTAAGGTTACCTCGACATTTAGATGCAGTGAATATAACTAGCATGACAAAGGGTTGAGACCAAGCTTTCCATTGAGGTAGCGTCAGATACTGATATATAATGTCATATATGGGGGTATATAACGGGTTCTAGATCGGATGATTGGATTTATTGGCACTTTGGTTACAAGTTCTTTTAATCACACTCAGTTATCAGTTTACCATTGCACAAACACTAGAATTCTCTCTCTTTACTAGTCATCTCCTGGCAATGGATCTCAACACAGAAACTAGCACTTCAAATCCTATGAAGTTTTGTTGTTATTTTGTTTTCAGTCTCCCTGTACTAATCTGTGCTAATCTGTACTCAGTCTTCACAATTCACTAAGGACATGCTCCATTCTCATCCTTGTACTCTCAACTGCACCAAACTGCAACTAATCTAAGTCAAAGTCAGTGGTAGGAGATCCTCATTATATAGGCTCCGCAAAGACAACACAGAAAACGCAAGTCACATGATTGCTACCCTTAGTTCATTGAAACACTAACTACTGCCTAGCAACGAGCTATAACATTTGTCCACTGAGATACAGTTTCCTTTGTTGTGCATTGGATCATGTTTACTGAGCCATTGCTTAGCAATGCTTTGGGCAAATCCGTTACATTGTTCCCTCCTTAAGGCTGTTCATGCCAGATGGCATAACGGTGAATCACCGTTCCTTCTTTTCAAAGGGTTCCTGCTCATGGCATCTTCTTGTGATTTGGCTCCTCCTCTTGCCATTACTATTCCTTAAGGCCAGCTCATCCCAAACAGTTCCCTTATAAGGTTCCAGTTCGTCAAGGTTATCACCATTATCCAAAGTTTTTTCCCCCGCTTACATTTAATTACTTACTTACTTACGGAGCTGAGCCCTTCTTGAGGAGAAGCTAATCTGCAGCTACTCAAGAATTTCCCAGCATTTTATGGAACATGAAGGTTCGTTACTGTGTTCACAAGAGCCCTCCACTGGTCCCTATCCTTCAGCCAGATCAATCCCATCCTATCTCTCTAAGCTCCATTTTAATATTGTCCACCCACCTACGTCTTCGTCTTCCTACCCTTATCCTATATGCATTCCTTATCTTCCCCATTCGTGCTACATGCCCTGCCCACCTCATCCTCCTTGACTTGATCATTCTAATTATACTTGAAGAAGAATACAAGTTATGAAGCTCCTCATTATTCAGTTTTCTCCAACCTCCTATTGCTTCATTCTTCTTCAGTCCAAATATTCTCCTCAATGCCGTGTTCTCAAACACCCTCAGTCTGTGTTCCTCCCATAATTTCAGAGACAAAGTTTCATACACATACATAACCACAGGCAAAATTATAATTTTGTATATTCTAATTTTTATGTTTTTGGACAGCAGACGAGAAGACAAAAGGTTCTGGACTGAATGGTAGCAAGCATTACCAGAGTTCAATCTCCTCTTAATTTCCTCCTGAATCAGGTTTTGATTTGTTATCGTTGTTCCCAAATATCTGAACTGTGTCACATTTTCAGAACATCTGTTTCCTATCGTTATGTCTTGATTTTGCACTGCATTTTGGTGACAAGACAGCAACATATACTTAGTTTTCTCTGTGTTTACTTCTACACCAACCTCCCTACTTGCATCAGTTAAAGTTTGTGTGTTTTTCTTTATGGTATCTACAAGGGTGAGTCAAATGAAAGCCATAAATTTTTTTAATTTAATTTATTGAATGAAAGCGGTACACAACTATATCATTTTTGTATATAGTCTCCATTTCATTCGATACAGGCCCTCCTTACAAAGTGTATGGATTCCTCTAGAAAAAACTTCTTATTGTCTGCACAACTACTCATGCACCACCTGCTGTGCCTCTTCATCAGAACAGAACTTCTTTTCTCCCATTGCCTCTTTGAGTGGCCCAAATGTGGTAATCACTTGGGGCTAGGTCTGGTGTGTATGGCGGATGTGGAAGACACTCAAAGTGCAAGTCTTGGATTGTTGCAACTGTTGCATGGGCAGTATGGGGCCAAGCATTGTCATGTTGCAAAAGGGACATCTCTAGTCAAAAGTCCACGTCACTTTGATCTGACTGCAGGTCGAAGATGATTATTCTGCTTCAAGGCACCACAGAAGTTCTTCACAGGCGTCAACACATCGTCATTTCAATTCTGGAGTCAGCTGCCATGGCACCCGCCTTGCAGACACTTTGTGAAACTGGAGCACATCGTGAATGACATGGTGTGCTGATCCGTGACTCATGTTAAGAATTTCGGCTAATTCATCCACCAACACTTGGCAATTCTCCATCACTAGGGCTTCAACTGCTGCAATGGACTCAAGGGTCACAACTCTGTGCGCCTGACCTGGACGAGGAGCGTCTGCCACGGACATCACACCATTTCTGAATTTCCTACTCCACTCGTACACTTGCTGCTGTGACAGGCATGCATCACCATATTGAACCTTCATCTGTTGATGAACTTCAGTCGGTTTCACACCTTCACTGATCAAAAAACGAATTACAGAATATTGTTCTTCTTTCAATCATGTACGTAGTGGAGCAGCCATCTTCAAGCCGGCACTGTGATGGTGTTCTGTTTGTCTGCATTATACTGCCACCTATAGGATACTCTTTATAGCATTGGTAACATATCTGCCAACCTATAGGACAGTGCACAATATTTCGAATTTTTATCTCAGTTTTACGGTTTTCATTTGACTCACCTATGTATGTAGGTGAGTCAAATGAAAACCTTAAATATTTTTTTGAGTATTATTTATTGTGAACAAGTGGTACAAAGCTGTATCACTTTGCAACATAATCTCCCCCACGCTCAATGCAAGTCCTCCAGCGCTTACAAAGTGCATGAATTCCTTTAGAAAAAAAATCTTTTGGTAGTCCGCGCAACCACTCATGCACCGCGTGATGTACCTCTAATGTTTAAACTTGCTGCAATTTTATTCAGTGTCACTCGGCGGTTTTCCCTCACTGTGGCTTCAACTGCTGCAGTGTTCTCTGGAGTCACAACTTGATATGCCTGACCCAGACGAGGAGCATCTTCCACTGAAGTCACACCATTTGCAAACTTCCTACTCCATTTGTACACTTGCTGATGTGATAAACATGCATCACAATATTGAAACTTCATTCTTTGATAAATTTCAATAGGTTTCACATCTTCACTACACAAAAACCGAATAACAGAACGCTGTTCTTCCCTGGTGCAAGTCTCAAGTGGGGCAGCCATCTTATACTGGTGCTGTGATGGTATTCATGCATCTGCGCTATTCTGCAACCTACAGGCCATTCTGCACGCTGTTTGTAGCATGCTTACCAACTTACAGGATAATGGCGCAAAATTTCGATTTTTAATACAAATTTAAGGTTTTAATTTAACTCACCCTCATGTATTATCACCCAGTAGATTCACATCATCAGCATAGACCAACAGCTGGTGTGTCCCATTTAATTTCAGTCCCACCTGGCTCTCCTAGACCTTCCTAATGGCATATTCAAAAGCAAAGTTGAAAAGGAGTGGCGATAGATTATCTCCTTGTCTTACACCATTCTGGATAGGAAATTTATCAGACGAATGTTTACCTACACGGACTTTACTATATGTTTCGTTTAAACACATTTTAATCAGCTTAACTAGTTTCATAAACTGTCAGAGTATTGTACAATACTTCCCTCCTAACTGAATCATAGGCTTTCTTGAAGTCCACAAATAGCTGATGTACTGTCTCATTGTACTCCCATTTTTTCTCCAATATCTGACGAATGCAAAAGATCTGATCTGTAGTTGATCTGTTACATCGAAACCCACACTGATGAGCCCCAATAATTTCACCTGTGTATGGACTTATTCTCGAGAGAAGAATATTGGATAAAATTTTCTATGAAGTTGATATCAGTGATATCCCCCGATAATTACTACAGTCACTTTTATCACCCTTCTTGTGAACTGGTACAATAATAGACTCCTTCCATTGATCAGGCAATTTGTCCTTATGCCAAATAGAAATAATCAGCTTATGGCTCTTAGAATGTAATATTTTGCTTCCTGAGTGCTACTAGGTTGTTCTTTCGTTTTGGAATGGGTCGATCCCTGCACAAGATCCAATTCCTGATTTTTCGCATCCTGCTGGAAATCCTACTGCTTGCCTTACGATCTCCAACCTGATGGTCTTCCTGTAGATCCTGCTGGTTGTCCTCTCACTTCCAAGATGTAGCTGCTCCTCGAAGTCTTGGTTCCTGGTTCCATTGGTGCCTTCCTGGTCCATCAGTTATCTCCTTCTGCATGTCCATCCTTTCTGGGTTCATCTTGCAAATTTATTCATGGTCTGATTCTTCCATCATCTCTGTTGAACTGATGGTCCTTCATGACTGCATCCCCGAAGCCCATGTCCCTTGTGCTGTGCCACCTTTGCACAGCAGATCATCTTCCTGCCAGCTCCCTCAAATTCCTTCCATGGTCCACAAATTCATTGGATCAGAATTTTCCTGAAGACGTTTCCCTTGCACTGTGCCACTGCTGCATTATATTATTAGTCATTTGATGTGATGTTTAATCTCATATATTTTTTAAAAAAACTGACTTGTCCAATTGTACATAATGTAACAGTTATGGATGTTAAATCAATCAATCAATCAATCAATCAATCAAGGTGTGAAACATGTTGCAGAGAGGACCAAGCTGATGAATACACATCACTAAAAAAGGAACTGGAACAGACAAATAAGAATTGCCGTATATTGTCATTCAAACTGCGCAAGGCAGAACGAAAGGCTGAACAATTAGAGGCAGAAAAGTTAGAAGTAGAAAAGAAGTTCAAGGAGGTTGCTGGAGGTCAGACAGGGCTTGAGAAGGTGGAGAGAGTGAAGAAGTTAGAACAAGAATTGGCAGTTGCAAATGAGGTTAGTAAATCTTGAGAGCACCAGCAAATAGGATCTAGTGGTAGTGCTTCTGATTTGTTTTCCTTAAATGTCTAGTTTGAATTTCAGTCGTGATACTATCCTCACTGAGTTTTCCACAGCCCCTTCAGACAGCTGCTGCGAAATTACCTGAAATTAGGCCATGATCTGTTCTTTCCACATCATTTCCAATTGTTGATTAATCATACTACTATTTATCACTATTTATTGACTTTCTGGGTATCCTATTTTTTTAAACAATTTTTTGGGTTCTGGACTCTGCCTCTGTCCTTGGGTAAATACCTACTCATTTGGACTTAGCTGGTAGAACTAGAGCCATCTCCAAATCTGGAACTGACACAACACTGGATATATAAACCAAATGCAACCTACTCCATCACCAGGTGTTAAAAGCCAGAAATTTAAAATGCCACATGGATGAGGCCTAGTGCCTATGGCCAGGCATAATGGGATGGCCAGAAACAATAAAGCCAAAACTTTAAGAATCAAATTCTAAAAAGGACAACTGTGGATCATATAATGTCAAATGATATTGAATAGTCTCTTACTGTAAAATCACAGATAAGAAAATGATACACATACATACTTAAACAATAGTTATCAATATTGCTTTCTTTGCTGTTAGGTCCTCTTTTGTATTTCGGAAATTTTGTCTGCTTGAATTTTAATCCCCTGTATTTAATGGATGTGTATACATACCTGGGATGATAAAAGAAACAAAAACAAAGTCTGTGGCATGAGTCTGCAAGCGAACTATACCGACTGAGTGACTGCCTCTTGTCAGTGAAGTTTTTCTTTTATTGCTAGTAGGGTGAGACTAAGTCCCTTGTACTGCGGCCACTTCTGGCCTATTGTAACAGCCCAAGATGATAGGTGAGGGTGATTATGGAGCAATTGGTGGAATGAAGATTGGCAGGGGAAACTGAAGTACTTGGAGAAAACCTGCCCCAGCGCCACTTTGTCCACCATAAATCCCACTTGATCAGACCCTGGCTGGAACCCAGGCCGCTGCAGTGGGAAAACAGTGACTAACCGCTTGAGCTATGGCACGGCCTTTCAGTGAAGTTAGTGCCATCTTCAGCAGATAGAGGGTGTCATGTGGTCAGCACAGTGCATTCCAAAGCCATTGAATTCGGTTTTCTAGAGCAGAGCCACTGTTTTTTTTAAATAGCTCCTCAATTATCCTCACGAGGCTGAGTGAACCCTGTTCCAGAACCACCACTACTCAGAAAATCATGTAGTTCATGAATTGAATATGGACCTCTGGATCTGTAGCCAGGAACTCTGACTACTAGACCACAGTGGCGGTCTCTGGGTTGATAAATAACGTCCAAAATTCAGTAATTACAGAAAACAGAAAGCTTTATTTGTTCCAACCATGCTGCAGGTTTAATGATAAAACAGACATCTTTGGAAAAGGAAAATATTTATCAAAGATACTTGCATCTTCCAGAAAAACCAAGAAATAAAAATTCCAGAGTCATAAATAGCAATGCATCTGAGACAGAGAAGGAAATGTGTATGCCTTCTGACTTTTTTTAATATCAAAGAAATTATCCATCACAAATTTCTTCCTCCAAACAGTCACCCAAAGAATGCACTTATACCTTCAAGTTCTGGGTAACTTACAATATTGTATTCATTAAAGAAGACTTGAACTTCTAACTGGATCTTGTGTGACAGTGTATCTTCCCACACATCACTTCCAGTAAACTGATATTTGTACAAGAAACAAGTTCTCTAACAGCGCTGAAGCTTGTATCATATTCGCCTAATTTTGCCCATTGTTAATCTTTCATGCTTCTGAAGCTGAAAACTTGTAGAATGGTAGGATTGGCTATAACAAAGTTAAGATTTTATTTTGTATCCTTTTGGCTTTATATTTCAAAATTCTGTTAATGGTTCCAGATACCTTATAGTATACTGCATTTTCTATGTGTCATCACATTCATAGTAAATATTGAACCCAAACATTTAAAAGTATACAGCCCATTCCATACTTCTCATAAAATTTATACTACCTACTTAACAGTTTATTTCGATAGGTTGCTGTCCGCTTGCAGAAAGAACTGGATGAAACAAATGCCAAGCTCAAAGCCAAGGAAGAAGCAAACAATAAAGAAGCAACAAAGAAAAAGGCTCCTATGTTGGGAACAGTTGGAAAAGTTTCATCAGGCGAGGTCAGTTCAACAAGTAGTAAATCTTGTCATATTCATAATCATTTACTGCTTTTCCAGAGAAGGGGAGGCAGTTCTATGGCATAGCTTTCTATGCTCTTCCCTGGCCTTCCACATGCACTTTCCTGTCTATACACATCCTTTCCTTGCTTTGTTTACATGTCTGCTGTTGGTTTCCCCAATTTATCTACTGTCCTTCATTAGTTTTTTTGACATCTTTACTTTTATTACAAAGGCAAAAATAATACCGTCTAATGTGACGGTGTCTGGGGTATGTGAAAAAAAAAAACAGAATAATTCAACATTTTTGTTGTTAGCGTTATCTTAACTGAAAAGTTGGAGATATTCTTGAACGCATGTAACCTCCTGTACTTGCAGCCGACTATAAATTAAATGCCATATCCATTCTTTGCTTCACGTTTGCAAGTCCCACCTACATTTTTTTGCACAGTCTGCTGCATTGTGATAGACATGAGGAAAAAAATGTAATATTGTAAATAGGCTGGAGGAATAGGAACAGGAATATAAGCAACTTTTTGACAAAACATGCATAAGAAATGTTTGTGACGATAAATATATTGACACATAACAGAAAAACACGTGAGGTAGTTTAAACCTCACTGATACTTCGACATACAAGCATTACAGTGTGGTTTGTTGTTAATACCGTGACTGGAATACCTGCAGCTGTTTGACGTTATGTACACAAGAAATGACTGTGAAACAGTTGTTATGCCAAACAGCTAAACTGTGAAATGCATATTATGGTAGTGGCACATAAACCATACATGAACCTGTACGTGTTAATTTTCTAACCCAACAAATATAAGTTTAAGTAAGTTATCACACTCAAAATTTAAGTAACTATGCAGTAAACATAGGTGGGATTTGCAGCATCTTGAGTCCCATGCCCATGTCATTATGCTGTTAGCACAGGTCTCATCTCATTATGTCCATCCACAGAATGACAAATTGAGATTGCATAATGAATTTCACCAATATCTGCTCACAAACGAAAGGAAATGTTAAGGCAAATTTTCATGTGACATTTGCGATTATGATAGTGTGTAATGTTTTAAAAGCTGGAAGGTCATGACAGATTTCATCAGAAATCTAAGTTTGATAAGTGGCAGAACCTTAAACATACACATGTATAGTATTCTGTGACTTCATCATCCAAGGTCAGGGGAAGGGGAAGCCTGTGTCACACAAAGGGGACCATACTGCATGGTGCCTCTGTGAACAACTCAAATGACACAGGCTGCTGGACTACTGAGGAAGCTTAGATAACATCATGTGATGCAGATTTTTCAGTCATTATAACTTAGTATGTTCAAAGAGGCCCTAATCACTTCTTCACAAATCTTTACCCATTCTCCATTTATGGTTGGTTTTCCCATTTTACTGGACACTATAACACTGGAAGCTTTGAAACATTTTTTTTAAATGTTCATGATATCAATCAGTCAAATAGAGAACTATATATCTATTGTTATCATCTATTTTGACGAAACAGAAGGTGTCTCGCGCATCACTGACCAGAGGTGGATCACAGGAAGATCCACAACAATTACTTCGGGACCTTCAGGACTCCTTGGAACGAGAAGCTGATTTGCGTGAACAGCTGCGTTTTGCAGAGGAAGAAGTGAGTTGTTGCATGTGTGAAATAGACCAGTCTCTTTAATGACAGGAATTTTCTTGTTTCTACATGAAATGCTGCAGATTATAAAACCACATATCGTGGCTTCCTAGGTTATTCAGCTGCTCTGATTTATTCTGGAAGTTTTCTGTTCTGCTCATTGAAACAAATATGAAATCCTCTGTTAGGAAGGGGGCTGAAAGCAGTTGCATTTCCAGTTTCACAGTCAGATTCTCGCTTTTATCAGCATTTGGTTGGAACTAAAATTTTGTTTTTCTTGCCACTAACCCTTTGTCTTTTACATCAGTTCTTAGTTGTCATATTCATACTACAAAACTATTTAACATTTATTATTTGAAAGATAATGATGTTTATAGCCTGTAATCTCAGCAGCAGTGATATTGCAGACTTGTATTTGTGAGGTCGGAAGGTCGCGGGTTCAAGTCCCAGTGTCATTGGATTTTTTCAATTGATCTAATTCTTCTGACCGCACTATGTCCCTGGTTTTGACTCAGCCTCTAACAGAAATGAGTACCAGGAATTAATTAAATAATTTTCTTGGGGAGTAAAGCGTGGCCAGTGCGTAAAGCTGACAACCTTACCGCCATCTTTGAGCCAATTGTCTAGATAATGTGGGACCCTCAATGTCTCACAGCTCTGTGGGCCTTCAAGGCCTGTTACAGGGATAGCTTTACTTAATTACTACCCAATTTGAATCATGACTGGCTTAATGCTTACTTTTGTAGTTTTCCTCAGTCTCTCCAGATGAACTCTGGGATGGTTACTTTCAAATAGACGACAACCATTCCCTTTGGAATTTATTCATTATTCATGATCATCTTCCCGTCACATGTAGTGCTGCATAACATATAGAGTTAAAGCAGTGTTGTTAAATAACCAAAGAATCATTTAGTCAGACAGTACTTACATTGTACTTCTCCAGTGGTATGCTTCATCTCTTTTCTTGCTCATATAAATTTTGAGAAATATAGTTTTGTTTTCCAGTAAACTTAATTGCAAACTAAAATTCTAACCATCTGCATTTTCTGTATGTGTGTGGGCATTCATGAAGCCTCCAACAGGTAAAAGGATGTAGTGAGTATACAGTCATATATTTCTTTCAAGAGAAATATGGCCTGACATAAACACTACTCAGGCAGGTGGCACTATAATACTGGCTCCTCCATTGCTCTCTGATAGTGCAGGTAGTGCAGTGTTTATGCTTCTTATAATAGAACAAGAGAGAAACAGGATGTTAGTAAAGGGACGAAATATTTTTGGATTGTGATCTTCTGGGCTGTGGCTCCATGTAGGTTGTAGTTACCAATCATTTTATCATTTTGAGGGAACCTCCTGCCCCAGAGAACGCATGTGTGCAGTCATACAACCAGTTAACTCTTCAACGCCATATGACTTTCCTATTCACTTCTCTGGGCAAAGGACATTTAAATGTTGAAATTTCATAGTGACAATTTCACTTTAATTGTAATAAATCTGTAGGAAATAATAACTTTTCTCCAATTTTGATAGTACATTCACAGAAATGATCAAACTCTGAACAGAAGTGCCACAGTATTTTAAAATAATGCTGGCATAATGAATTTATGAAAATCATGTAAGAAAAATATTTTATTGGCATTATTATCTTATGAATTGAGTTTAGTGTTGTTATTTCAAATAAATTGCACACACATCACACCAGTACAATGTTTTATCTCTTCCTGTACTTCTGACAAAGTATACTTCTGCGTAGTCTTGCTTTCTTCTCAGATGTGGAATGTGACTTATAAAATATCTTTCTGTTAGTGGAATCAGGCTTGAACTTTGCGTTCCACAGTATTGCCATACTACATGAACATTCTTTCAACTGACTGAATTATTAATGACAATTGATCAATTCTGCTCCCATTGGCAGGCCTGTATATTTTAATAACAGTCAAAATTGAGGTATTTGGAAGACTGCAGAGTAACTTCACATACTTTGTCTCCATCAGATAAGAGTGTAGGAGTTCGTCTTGTATTGAAATTGCTTCAATTATTTCTTTACTTCATATTGCAAATTTTTAATGTTATGACTATCATACATGGAAATCTAAGTGATGTGTTTTGTAAGTTCATGTTGTGGCAGAAGCAGGGCCATAACAGAGATGTGATAACTCACTCAGTATAGCAACTAGGTTACAGGCTGAATGACAAAGGAGTTGGTATTTAATTCCTGGTAAGGGCAAGCGATTTTTATCTACCCCACGTAATTGAGGCCTGCTTTAGGACCCAACCAGCCTCCTAACCAATGGGATCTAAGGGGCTATTCTGTGGGGGTAAAGGGACCAGGACCATAGGCAGAGACAGGCACTCACTGTAATGTAACACACAAATTGTTGGAGTAGAGAACGATTTTGAAGATCTGTAATGGAATATAAATGTTGCAGGGAAATTAAATTGTTACTGCAAATATAAGTACTGAAACTTCATAATCTCTCTTTGATATCATATCAGAAACTGGATTCAAAATATGAGCTGGATTTTGTTGAGGCACTAGCCATGCTTCATATGTGTGTCATAAGATGACTTGTGAATAAACAGTTGGTGTGCCATGTGAGCTGAAAAGTTAATTGTGATAAGTTGATAAGTTCAGAATTTTACAAGTCCTTTGCTAGAACCATCATCTCATTTTCCACTTGAATACACCTCATGCCTTGTCCAGGTTTATATCCATTCCGTATGTGTTACAATTGAATATGGTAGCCAGTGCTCTCACAGTTGCAATTTCTACCTTGTAAAGAGAAAGAAATATATGGTAATATTCATCTCTGCAGTTATGTAGAAATAGGGTAGACTGTTTGTGCAGTGGAGTGATTAATTTAATGAACTACTGGTCTGTGCTGCCAAATTAAGAACTTCTGTTAATGTCTTACCCAAGAAAATGCCTGAAGTTTGGCCTCTTTCCTCTCTTATCACAATAATAAGCTTTTTATAGAAGTTTTTGGTTACTGGTCCATTTTTAGGATGCATGTTTTAGTAGGTTTGTAAAGACAGACATTGTAACCCTTCTGCTACATAAGATTGTAATTATATTTTTTCAGAAGTGTATAAATAGTTCTTGTTCATATGTATCACTTTTGCAAAAGTCAAAGTGCTGCATAAAGTATAAAATGCAGCAGATAAAATTCATATTCAGCATAAAGTGTAGTCACAAGAGAAACATAAATTTCCTTCTTAGATTATGTACAATGCATGCATTTTATTCATATGTTTTCTATTAACTGTGTTCAATTTATGCCGCCAAAAATCCACGATGAAATTATACTAGCACCCGTTTTGTTTAACTGTTAGCATATTTTCATCACTTGTGACAAAAGATGTTAGTAGATGAAGTAGACTGAGTAATGAGGAAGAATGTTATCTTATTTGCTTACTTGTCTTCTTACATGCTTCCTTTACTTTCTTCTTAAACTGTGGTTCTCAAGTATAACTTTTTGTGACTGTATTAATGAACAAAATGTTTGCTGTGGTCACATTCTCATTCTTTTAATATTTTGTTACTGGACAGTTCCATTGTCTGGTTAAGACCACCATAATTTTTTGGATATCTGTGTTTATACTGCAACATATTTAGAATAACTGTAGATGGAAAATGGATTGTGAATAGTTTTATCGAACACTTACAGGTCATAGTTAGTTAGTTATTGGAGAGGGTGGGTTTCCCCATGCACTTAGACCAGTATTGGTCCATTGTGCTTCCCTCTACGATATTCTACCAGTCTCTATATCCTACCGATAATGGTGTGTACCATCAGTCCTGACCAAGCCAGCGAGTTCTCAACTGGCTTGGCAGTATCTATAATGCTTCCCCCATCTATCAGAGGCCTTAGAGACTGCTGTTGGGCGGGAAACGTCCTTGAATTTGGCTCAGTGATCTCCTTTGGAGATATGAGGTTTTTTACGTGCCATAAAGCTACAACACTGGACCCACGGCTTAAAGTCCCTCCCGGAGGACTTGTTCCCTGAATTTTTCCGCCCTTAAAAATTCAAAGACCTCCGCCGGGTATTTGAACCCATGTACCATGAGTCATGAGGTGGGAACATTACCTCTAGACTACGGAGGCCACTCTTACAGGTCATAACTACAATACTATTGCTAATCTCCATGCTTTACAAATCACTAGCACTAATTAAAACCTCTCAGTCTTCACTAGTCATATCCTGGAAACAGATTTTAACACAGTAATTATGACAGTCTCACTGTAACTACAGCACATATAAAGTCTTTTTCACGGCTGGACTTTCAGTTCTCAGCTGACTATAGTGCTATCTCTTCACAGCTTCCCTTGCAGAACTTAACTGAACTGGTTGCCCATATTCTCTTCTTTGTAAGCACTTTTCACTGATCTAGTTGGAAACACCATTTTCAGTGGTAACTAATGTTGTGTTTTCTGAGGTTACCTAGAAATGGGTTTCATAACACCATTGTTTATTTGCCTTTTGCATAGCAACGTCTGTACACGCTACACTACACATAGTGATACTGAGCAAGATAATGGACAGTTTCTAAAAACACAATCTCTTGTTGTTGCTTTGCCATTCTTATGAGCCTTTAGAGCTATCTTAAATCACTTTATTCAGATACTTTCCACATAAGTAATTGGTTTCCACATGCATACAAAGTACAGTAGTTACACTTGAGAATCAATGTTCTGAATTATTTTTCCCATTTTTGAAACTAACCTCAGCTTCAGAGGAGCAGAAAACAGAGGATCATCATCAGAGATAACAGTGCTGATGGTAGACACACACCAACATTACCATCATTGCAGCCAGATGTTGTTCCGTCATTAAAGTACCAGCAAGAAATATCCTCTGTCAACATTTCTAGAAGTCAGTTCCAGTATGCTACTACTCAAAATCTTGGAGAAACTTACAGAAATCCAAGAATATCTTCTGGAACACAAAAGAGTGTCTTGAAACTTCCTGTAACTTCACAAACAAGGCCAGTTATAATCCGAAGTCTTATTGATACTCAGATGCCCCCACTGACTTCTGGAGAAGCTGTGAAAAATGCTGTTGGTATTGAGACTATAAAGGCCACAGATTTGGCATCAACTGAAGACAGACAAATGGATTTGGATATATCAGATGTAAGAAATACAGTGAAAATAGCAGAATCAACTCAAACGGATCCCTTAGTACAGGTTTCTGTTGAAATGCAAACAGAGGAATTTCTAGCAATAACAGAAATATCTGAGGCAGACTTTCCTAAAGAGCTTCAGACATCTGTTTTCCCTCAAAGTACTTCAGAAGAAACATGTATTTATTTGAAGCTTTCTAAAGAGCTAGGAACTTCTGTAGAAACTCAGACTCTTTCACTTGAAACACAAACTGTTTCTACTGAAACTGAACGTATTGCAGTGACATCTGTACCAGTTCAAACTAAAGAGTCACCAGAGAAGGAATTTGTGACTGCTTCAAATTTAGAAAGAAATTCAGAAATTCAGAAAACTGTGATTGGCAGTGAACATCAGCCACTGCTGCCAGAATCTCAAGAGCCATTATTAATTTCATCCAGTATATTTGAAGAAAATATCTCTACTCCTCCATATACTGCCAGATTAGAATCTGACACATCTCTTGAAGAATTTACAGAGCTGCAAATATCTGTTGCAACACAAACAGATTGCTCAGCATCATTTCCACTCTCAGTGATGAGCCCTATGCGACAGTTCCAGTTTTCCATACCAACGGTTTTCCCATCTGGCTCTCTCCTCTGTAGAAGTTCACCGATGAGAACACTACTAACAACCATAGGTATGATCTTTTTTAAGCTGTAGATGAGAATACTCAAACTGATAATGCAAAAACACATTTTTTGTAACGACATGGTCTTTTCGATTTAAATTTGTAGCTGTAGAAGATATGTCAGTAATTATTCTTTATAATTGCACAGAAAATAATAATAAAAAATCGTTTAATGGAGAACTCATTGTACCGTATATCTGAATATCCAGTTGGCTCATTAAGTGAATAAACACCTGCATGATTCTCCAGTTTTCTGACTTTACACTACATTATTTGTAGAACAGTTAACTCCCATGCAGACTGATTCTTCCATATAAGTGAGATGTAAGTGCTAAACATTGTGAGTTCAGAAAAGAAGATATTTTTAATCTACTAGTTATTTGTCTGATAAGAGAATTCATGTGGAGTGGCATATAATTATTTACATGAAGGAAAGCTGGAAGAAATGAGAGATGCATTAAAAGATCTGTACTTCTGTAAACATTATAATTTGTGTCAAATATATATACATTATGGTATATTTCAGTAGTCCACACTAAATACGGTTTCATGAGAAATGTGTTTTTGTTCCTCAAACGGAGTTTTGTTTTGTGAAAGCTGAATAACAAAATAATCTGAGTGAGACATTTTCTTTGCTTGTTGTAGTTTTATATTTGTTGTTCCACCTTTGCCTTTTATGTGTTGACATATTATCAGATGGTTTTCTTTTTCGCATTAAAATTTTTGTGTTACTGTATAGGTGTAATATACAGTTAGTTCTTGATTTTCAATGGGATTGCATTCCCAGAAACAAGAATGTATATCATATCAAAGTAAGAGATGAATAACTCAGTTCTCAACTGTATTTATTACTCAAAATGATGTTGTATGGACATGAATAATGGGAAATTAAATGCAGTCTGGTTTTAACCAGTGTTATTACAGTGAAACAATTCTAATCCAAACAATGTAAATGTGAGACTACCTGTCTTCATATAAACTTTTATATAGTCCAGCTCATTTTGGTTTCCTCAGCTTGTGGTGGGGGCTGCATCTTGTGGAAATAGATTTCTGTCATTTTCTTTGTATTTTAATATTACCATTACATGACCATGACAACAAAAGATTTTGAGAAGAATGAATATATACCTTGTAAAAATCCCAGCTGGATTACTAGCTATTCTGACTTGAGAGTTTTTGTAATTTTTCTCATTCTCACCAGAGACATGATCAGATAACACACTGAAACATAACATAACCTGTTTTATATCATATTCTTACTTACTCACCATTTATGACTATCTTCCCTTATCATTTGACATCGTATAATCCCTTCAGTTCTTACAGCATCCCTAAATACTCGTAATATATGAATCAAACAGTCAGTCTGAGTACTTCATATTAATTTTCAAGGTATAGTTACGAATTAGCAATAAATCATCAATTCATGAGTCACCCTATTCCTTGTTGTGCCAGTAATTCCTGGATAGGAAAGAAAATGTCATGCAGCACTAGAAATATCATGAAGTGGAGAGAGGCACTCAAATCATATATACAATTTTTGACTCTTAAAGTTGTTATTTGCAAGGGATGCAGATAATCTGAAGCATTAAGGGTGCAGCACACCACATGGATCAGCATCTAGGACCTAAATATGAACCACTGAATTCTTACTCTGTGGTGGCTGTGCAGGCTCCATATCAGAGTCTTGATCGGGCATACTACTGTGCCACTGACTGTCAGTTTCACTGTTGTTGCTGTGACTCTGAGAGCTGGTATCACTGTTTGCACAGTATTGTTTCCAGGAATGAGGTTATTGGCAGTATGGTGTGTCACCTCTGGAATGATCTATCTCTTTCCCAGTACTGGTTTTCAACTCCTTCTGTGTCTACAGAACCCTTCCCAGGCTCTCTTTCTCGCAAGTGACACCGTGTTTTCATGACTTGTAGTAATTTTTCTTTTAATTTTATTCTAAAATGCACATATGTAGAGGTAATCTAATAACTGTAAGTCCTTGTTTTTACATGATGTGATCAAGATAGCTTCTCTTTAGTTTTCAGTGGTAGAATTAGTTTACACAGCTCATTTTTTACATGGTTTTATTACAGCTCATGCCTTTCTTACAGAGCCAGGAAATCATGTCTGCCTTTTCTATGTAGGCTGATACTGATTTTTCAATTTGGAGACAATGATAAAATGCATTGTTGAGGACAGTTACTGACAGGGGAAGACTAAGGATCCATTTTTCAACTCTCCATTGCTCAAAATTTGCAGCATTCATATGACCATGATAGTCCCCCATTACACTCTCAACCCTGTAAAGATGTTCTGCATTAAGAAGAAATACATTAATTCCTCCTGGATGCAGCATAAGCCTGTCTGCAGAGTTCACATCTGTCTGAACACTTGTGACTTCTTTGCTCTTTCAGCAGTTAGGTTAGGTTGCTCTCAACCCATGGTCCATCTGTATACAAAACTGGATGTCCCTAAATCTGGTATGCCTGTATTTTTGCAAGATATTCTGACTGCCAGTTAATCATATCTGCTGTCTCAGAATTTTTCATTTCAACTAGCTTTTTCAGCATTTAAATCCTGGTTTTTTTTTTTGCAACTATTTCTGATGGGTATGCCCATTGTGAATGGCAACCCAGCACATATATTTCGGTTGCTTCTGGTGTGCCATGTGTCACTTTCAGGCACTTCTTCCTTAGTGTCACTTCAGAATTAGGGGAGGGCTACTGATGGCATGGCAAATTTTCGTACTTATTATCAATGGCTATTTCCTCTTTTGAATCTGTGTGTAGCTATGACAGTGTCACTGATAAAGCACATGTAAATGGTTAGTCATTGCTAACCACAGGGTGAGCTGCTTAGTGCTCACATAAATTGTTGAGTTCTGTCATTCATCTGCGCCTCATATCACAGAATTTTCTCACTGATTTCCACATTATATTCCTAAATTACACGTAAAGTAAAGTAAAGCCATCAGGTTGTCGTATGATTAGTCATGGATCCCTAGAATATTTTGTTCCACTCTTTCTGTAGTTGCCATGCTGCCACAGGCCATTGTTTCAATGACAACAAGGTGGTGAGTCAGCCTGTAAAGGTTGGTATTTTAACAGATTTGATCAAAACATTGCCAGGCAATGATTCAGTAAACAGTTTCCAACATGCAGCAATACAGGGAAAACTGTGTTTTCTATGTGGTTAGCTTCCACGCAATGGTACAACTTTGTCTTCTGTGTAGTCCTTGCTGCAGCTCTATAATGAGATTCCCAGAATAACCAAAGGTGTTGAGAGCCAGTTGCCTGTAGGACATAGCAATGGCAAGTTCGTAATTGAAGGAGTATTAGAAGTCGGCCAGTGAGGACTTAACATGTGATTTGAAGACTTTATGTGTGCTGCAGTGCAGTGATGTTTGGAGTGTGACAGTTATAGTTCCTGTGTTAAATTCATTGCCAGGAAACGGATAGGAAAAACCTAGCAGAGGTGTAGCCATTGTTTAGATCTGTTACCTAGCAATGACTAGTAAAAGCGGATATAGAAGACTTCATTTATGTGTAATATTTACAGTTATCTTGAACATGTTATAATTAATTGTATTTAAGACTACTGAATATCCAACAAATTAATTCGCCAATCCAAACCCTATCTACAGGTCACTAATACATGTGACAGTATACAGTATATGACTGAGATTTCCACATGTGCATTGCTACCCTCTCTGTTGCCTCATTAATTATTAACAATAGTCGTTTCCAATGTGATTTCTTATCGCACCTATCAGTTATGTTCACTGTTACTCCCATGCCCTCCTGGTGAATGGTAATGTGGGGTCATTATTAATGTTCACCACACGCACTTGCTATTTGCCTATTCTCACTGTTCGTTCACTTTGTTGAGAAGTTAGTCGAAGCCCTTGCAGCCAGGGGGGGACTAGTCGATGCTGGCTGCGGTGAGGCCGGTTGGCTGGACTGGTAGGTGCTGATAACCGATGGTTGAACCAGTTGCAGCGCGGCTACTAGTAGACTCGCTGCTGCGGTGTTTTCTTGCTGCAGGCATAGCTCTGACTGGGCTGCTGTCTCGGAATGAACTGCTCATACCGTTGGCTCCTGGTCTTNACGTTTATCTTATTAGTGCTGCATGATAGTGACACAAATGGCTATTCATGTGCATAATATAAAGCTGCTTACCTATTGCTGAAGACACATAATTCTGCCAGTGTAAAGATGTTCGTTAGTATGTATGCACCATATCTCTTTTCGTTAATGCACCATTTTAGAGAAAACTGTTAAATTTAAATTTTAGTTACATTAAAAATAAGAGTTGTATTAGACCAGTACGAACCAAATTAAAAGTTTCTCACACTTTTTATATAAGCATGCAATACGAAATTTCAATCAGGTTTTTTATATAGTTGCACCAGTGAAACATGCACGTTCGCAGAAAGATACAACTCCCAATTATGCCTTATTTAATGAACTGTGGACAAACACCACAATTTCATGGTGTAGGATATTACAACGTGCACAGTTGCTCAGTTGGTCAAGAAATATTCCAGAATTTTACTGAATGGGTCATTACTATATTCTGAAATACCTACTGTTGGATTTTACACTGAATCAGTTTAATTTTGCACAATTATCCAGTTTTCCCATGCATGCTCTATGCCCTATCTATCTGAATTTCCTTGACTTAATAATCATAATATAAGGAGAAAAATACAAAGTATCAAGCTCTTGATTATGTAATTTTCTCCACTCTCCAGTTAATCCTGCAAAAATTGTCTGTAGATTGGTGGTTTGATAAAAATACATAAAAAATTAAAAGCCGTGGATCTCATTATGTTAGCATATAGTATGTGTCACTTTCATTAATTTTACTTTAGCATGTTTGTTATTTATTGTTAAAATGTCAAGTACAGTTCAGTCCATGTGTGGGTCTATGCAGAACACTTGTGCGATTGTTGGTGTGTGTCTGTGTGTTTGCAGGCGCAAACTCTGCGTAAGAAGGCGTCAAGAGTCGAGGAT